CGACAATGGTGAATGATGGCTGTGAGCCCGGGGTTGTAGTGAATGGCATCGCTGATCATCCCCGATGAGACGGTGGAAGACTGCCCTCTCCCATATGAGGCAAAGACTCCCCCACACTTCTTCAGGGGCCCCAGCGATTGCCTGCAGAGATCATTCATTGGAAACCTTGCAGAGCATTCACGAGCTTCAGTTGATAGCCAGGGTCAAGTTTCGTACGTTGCCCCCCCCTGCTGGGACGCTGCTGTCAGATTGATTAAAGAGACATATGGCAGTGATTGCAGGTGCTGTATCTGTATCGTGTCAGCCCTCATTCTTGCACAGGCCGAAGAGAGTCAAGCTCGCATCGTCTTGAGTCGTTCGGGTTGTGGCTCCCTGGATACTTCCGTTCCGCGTCTTGCCCGTCCGTCCCATGTGGCTTCGTTGTCCGTTCCACGGGTCAAGATTGCAACCTATGCGTCGTCGGCTTTCTGAGGACCCAACTCATAACTCAGGGGTGTGTATGTGTCTGTCCGCCAACGACCCCTGCCTTAGCTCCGGGTGTCGTTGAGCGCGGCGGGAGCAACTAAGAAAGGTGAGTGCCAGGCCGAGGACCGACCACAGAGGGCGACGTTGGCAGGTCGGTCTTTGCAGTAAAATGGGTGTTGCGGGCAGTCCGACCTGCTCTTTTGCATTCCCACCGTCTCGTGTGGCTTGCAGGGATTAGGTGCGGTGGACGGCTAAGATCCATGCAGAATCTGGACGGCTTCCCACCCTAATCACCTGCAAGTCAGGCAGTCCCCAGCCAAGGAGGGGAGGTGTGAGCAGGCCAGAGTGGATGACTTTAGAGTAGAGGGTGCGGTATGTAAGGTTCAGGTGGCCATCGCGGCCGGCACACGCCAAAGTGCTTGTAGGCCACTTTTCCCATATCATAGTTGCTATCCCCTCCAGCAGCCTGCACATGCTTCTGGACGAAAGGGCCTGCTTGCTTGCTTGCTTCTTGGATCCTTTCTCCCTCTTTCAGTCCAAGGTTTATGCTGATGTTCGACACGTGGAGGAGAGGATTGTACGGATAACCAACGGAGCGCGAGAGACTGTCTGGACCGGACCGAGCTGGAAATTGAGCCAGTGGAGACGCAAACGGGAGTTTGGCTGATTCTACCCCCCCTTTGGTGCTTCGTATGACGGCCGTCGCCTCATTTCATTTCGTCGCTGTCAGAGGAAGCATCTGTCGGGAGAATTTGCTCTCAGCTGTGCAACCGATATTATTTTCCTGTCAACGACGTCGTACGGGAACCGAATCGCAATCTGCAGCGCCGACACCTCTGAACTTTCACAAACGAGCAACGCAACGGATGGAGATTTCTGGCTGGCTGGACCTAGAGAACCGCATGCATCGATAGCCGCGGTTGTCAACCTGCTTTGACAAGGTAGTTCCCTTTTGCAAAGACGGGCTCTCCCATATGAATTCCCTGGGCCACCCACGCATGAGCAGAACTTTTTCTCCATGCGCCGCGCGCTTCCTCTCATGCTTCCAAAGCTGAGCTTAGCTGACCGACTGGACAGAGCTCCCCTCGCCCCATTCAGCTCGTCAACATGGGCCGGTCAAAATTCACATTTCCTGTTCCGGGGAGGAAACAGAAGCCGCCCTTCGGACCGATCGTATCAGGGCCGATGTCGAAAGCCCAGAAAATCCTGGGAACCGCCGAGATCAACATCGACGCACCGCGGCAATGGGATAACGCATCGAATTCCGGAATCAGCGTTTCCGTATCTGAGAGCACCGCAACGTATCATCCAACCGAGAGAGGTCGCCATAATGAAGAAGAGGCTTTCAGCGGGAATCATCGCAGAAATATGCAATGGGAACAGGAGTCTGAGATTGTACCGGCGTATCTGACGAATCGGTTTTCGCAATTGAACACAGATGCTGGCCCGAGAGAGTTCACCGAGACATCAAGCCTCACCCGCCGAGGGTCCAGCTCGACGATTACTTCATGGTACGACAAGTCGAAAATGCCTTTGTCAATATCTCAGCAAACTTCCTCGTCAGCGATGGCCAAAGGACTGCCCCAAAAAGCGAACGAGCTGCTGGACATTGAAGGACAAAACTCGGTGGCGCCACTGGCGCTATCAAACTCGAAGCCGAAGAAGAAGCCAAGCAGACTGGATCTGGGGCCATTGCTGTCCCGGCACAAACACCACAGCCTGAGCCTCAAAAGTCGTGACAGCAACAGAGGGAGTCCAGTGCTCGGGCCAGACCATGTTACCAAGTCCCCGTCTCTTGCCTCCCTCACCTCCCCCAAATCAACACCACCGCCCATTCAGCAGCGGACGGAGAAGAAGCTGGTAAGACGGAGCACATACGAGCGTATGGTTGAGAACTTGTCGTCAGGTCGCCCAAGAACGGGGTCAAGTAGTCGACGAGGCGCCAACGATATTAGCACACTGCCCAATTTGTATGAGCATTATGAGCAGATGTCGTTTGACCAGGTGCTAGGCCACGATGGGCCTCTCGCAAAATCGGATCAGACCATGACGAGGAATGGTCCCACACAGCTGAGATCACCACCCACAACAGACCAAAGGCAGAGTGTCATGAGACCCGGAGTTCGCCCACACCAGGCTCCGCCACCACAGGTTTCTCACATCGTTGCGCCGAGTGTGTCAAACCCGCCCATCCCGCAGATGACAATGGCAGATCGCGATTGCGCATCCAGTGTTTCGAGCCGGTACACTAAGACGTCGAAAGCGTCGAAACGAACCAGCCGGAGTATTGGCGGATCTGATTTGATGGAGAAGAGCGTGCTCTCGTTGTCGTCCGACTCTGAAGATGACTTCTTCCCTGACTCGATTTCGAAATCCACTGGCGAATCTCAGAGCAGTGATGCTGGTAGTTTGGCTCCTTCGTCACTGAAATCGTTCCGATCACGCGACGCACCCTCCCTTTCTCACAGCTCCAGAAAGTCTGTGAAGCACGCAAGTTTCGCCCCGACCAACACGTATCTCACTATACCCGCCAAATCCCCTCCGTCCAAGGCTCCGAGCCCCAGTGCGCGAATGAGCTCTCTTCCGCCTACACGATACCAGCCGCCAGCCCCTTCCAATCGCTCATCGTTGTACTCTACGAAGTCGACATCCACGACGAACTCCGGCAGTGATCGACAAGGCCCTCGGTCAGCTTACAGCTCTCAAGAGTTACGAAGCGCCCCTGCCATGCCTGCCAAGCAGCCTGTGGCGAAGCCCGAAAGAGTGGTCGAAACACCGCAGCGTATGCTGTCAACAAAGTCCTCCACACATTCTGTCGACCAGCCGACTCCTCCACTGAGTCCCACGTCCGTAGAGACTTTCAGTACGTCGACTGAATCTATCGATGCTCAAGGTGGATCAGATTCGAGATTTATGGCCGTAACTCGGCAAGAAGAGATGCTCCTTGCTGCTCTTCGCATGAAGCGAGCACGAATGCGCGAATCAGTTCTCGCAGAATACGAGGACGAGGCGCAACATGGTACGCAATACCACCACCAACGTAACTCATCGCAGAACACCATCAAGGAAATGCAATGGCCTGAGCCTCCCCAGACTCTACGCCATCAGACTTCCACCACGTCCAGCAGCACGATCAAGGCGGGCTCGCATGCACCATCTGAAGGGCGTCCGGGGTCATTGGCCGGCGGACGGAACCATAGCCGAAGTAACTCTCGACACCTCGATTTGCCGCTTTCCTCGTCCCGAAACGGATCTGTGCCGTCGTCACGGGCAAGCAGCTTAAGGAGGTCCAGAGTGGCCCAGGAGATGCCGCAGTCAGAGGCGAAACATGAGCGGATTCTGCTGTACCTGGACCGACCTGTCGGCAACGTCAACTCGATGGATTTTGCCGAACCAAGCCCAGACCTGAGTGACTTCATGGATTTTGACAACGGGAGTGAAGAGGACGAGGATCCGTCAATGTTTCGGCCACGCCTTCAGGGCTTTGGCGTGCCTAACAAGGGCCGAGGGCGTATGTTGAGGACGAGTGAGCGGGGACGTCACGACTCTTCCCCTTTGAGACCTCGCAACCTCGCAGAAGTTCCGGGGCAGATCCACGTGGTTGAGTCTGAGAGCGATGTCGAGCCAATGGCGGGGATCCCAAGACCAGACTCTCCTGTCTCGCCCGAAGGGACGCTTCCCCTGCCCAACCATGGGCTGTCGAAGAAGAAGGCCGTTCGGCTGAGTGCCGTCGGCAACGCTGGTGGTGTCGAAGCCGGCTGGTGGGGAGATGATGGTTGATGGCCGAAACGAGGGAACAGAAGCTTGCCGCACATGGTTCGGATAATTTCTTCTTGATACCCTGCACATGACTAATTTTCTTTGTCAATGACCGATCTTGTACAAATCTTGGACTGGATACAGGAGGCGTGGTGTTTCTGGTTTGGAGCGGTTAAGGGTAATCCTCATTCGGAATGAAGCGGGAGATGTTTGCATGAGCCATTGTCTGTTTTTTTGCGTGCTTTTTCCTTTCCCCTTATTTGCTCCGCAAACGGAGCCGAAGGCATGCCGCTTGAGTCGTTTCATTGACCTGTAATATTATTACAAGACATGCTTGATGGCGGCATAATGTTTTTGGATGGAATAAATGACGGACGTTGAAGTCGAAGGGAAAGGAGGTTAAAGAAGGCTCGGAGAGACTTTTGGGAAGGTGCCCTAGACACCCACCCTCCTTCCATATATATCTACCATCCATTACATTATGAGCAGTTCCTTCCGACAATTGTCCAATCGCCACTCGATAAAAGTCGAGTCTTTTCTGCTCGGCTTTGTGTCTCCCATTGTTGTATTACCGATTGGTCTACAGGACAATAGTCTCAAGTCCCTGAATGCCACACATTTGGCAAGGTGAACCACAAGCAAACTTGAATTCATGTTTTGAGAGAGCATTTCCCGCCCATCACTGAATTGAGTGAGATAAAGTACTAGTACATATTGTCACATCCGGTGGCTTTCCCCGTTTAGTGATCCATCAACGCCGGCTCCATCCTCCATAATCATTTCTGTCCAGCTGCCTCATCAAAGGTATCAAGTACAGTGTCCTTCAGGTCCTTATCCTCGTTGCCCTCAGGCTCTTGCGACTCGTGGTTGACGACCTGCTTCGCCATTGTCCTGGCCTGCGCCTCGCCAACCTTGCCGTAAACACTGAGACCGGTGGCAATCATGCCGCCAATGTCACCCACGTTGCCAGGAACAACAACAGCCGTGCTCTCCTTGGCCAACTTGGCAAAGGCGTCCACGTACTTCTCAGCGACGGATAAGCTGACGGCACCCTTGGCCGCATCCTCGCCATCAGCAATGCTCTTTGCAATAGCGTCGATACCAGCTGCTGTGGCCTTGGCCTTCATGAGGATAGCCTCGGCCTCACCGGACGCCCTGTTGATCTGCTCGGAGCGCATGGCCTCGGAAGCGAGAATCACACTCTGCTTCTTACCCTCGGCGATGTTGATAGCGGACTGGCGCTGACCTTCGGAGTCCAGAATCTCGGCTCGCTTCGATCGCTCGGCAGTGACCTGTCGGTGCATGGCTTCAACGACGCCAGCCGGAGCGTGGATGTCACGAATCTCGTATCGCAGACATGTGACGCCCCAAGCCTGGGCAGCCTCGTTAATGGCTTGGGTGATATTAGTGTTGAGAGCTGCGCGCTCCTTGAGGACGTGGTCGAGGGTCAGTTGACCGATCTCGGATCGCATCGTGGTCTGCGCCAGCTGGGAGATGGCGTATTCGGCATCTTCGACCCCATAACTGCCAGACAGTCAGATCAGTAAGGGTGTTTCTGACGGAAGGAGTCAAGACGTATGGGAAGTAGCGTACCTGGCCTTGTAGGCGTCAAAGACGCGCGTGTAGAGGACACCATCCAGCTCAAGGGTGACGTTGTCGGCGGTGATGGCACTTTGGCTGGGTATTTCAATGGCGATTTCCTTCAGTGACTTGACATAGGAAATGCGATCAATGAAGGGAACGAGGATAGCCAGGCCGGGTTCGAGGATGCGGTTGAACTTTCCCATGCGCTCGACAATCCATGCCGTCTGCTGAGGGACAAAGCGGATGACGGTGTTTGCGGGGAGGGAAGGCTTCTGGAAGTAGGATGGAGGAATGCTGGAACCGATGCCGAAGCTCGAGGGGAGCAGACTCTTGGTGCTCGTCTGAAAGCTGCGCGACTGCGCGAATGCCCGCCGCAGAGGCGGGGAGAGAACCGCCTTGGTTACCGCCGAAGCCATCTTTGCTGCTGCAGCATTGGCCTAAGGTCGAATTGGACTGCGTGGATCACAAATGGAGGTTGCAAGCTCCGGGGGGGACAGCTCTCTCATCAGCTAAGGTAAGCACCGTGGGCCGTGGGTCGTTGGTCGGCGCTGCGGAAACAAGACGAAAAAAAAAAAAAAAAAAGGGCCACTGCGTTCCATTGATGACGGAGGCAGCTGCCTGCCGACATTTAGCCGGCGGAAGGGGCCGAGGCCCACCGGGAAGGTGGGTGTGACGCTCCCGTCCACGCAAACGCTCGAGTGCGAGCGATTCAGGACGTGATTCAAGGAATGGCTTCCCCGAATGAAGTATGCAACCTTCTGCTACGCCAATGCACAGGGAATATGCCACGACAGCACCAGACAGATGGGTTAGTTTCTTCGTCAAATATGGCAGCCTGCTCCAATGCATGGATTTACACTTGCAGCAGAATTCGCTGCCAACGTACATGCTTCGATAAGTCTACATGGTTCCATCACTCTCACACCGCATGTAAGGTAGCCTGCCGGCGGATGGGGTGTGAAAGGCGTCAAGCAATGAGGGTTTCAGTACAAGCGCCAGACGAGCGGTAAATGACCAATGACAAGTGGCGCCTTGCATCAACGCAAGTCAGGCCATGCGAATTTCAGGGCGATTCCACTTGGTATGAAAACACAGGGTAGATATGGCAGGATGGAAAAGGCACGTGTGTCCAGTCCTTCAGCCCCTAAACTTACCTGGAATTCACCGGCACATTCATATCAGGACGTCGTCTGCCGTTGCTCTCTGAACAAGACAAATCGAGAGCAAGGATTGAGTCTTGAGGAAAAAGTCGTCATCATTGAGCCATACTACCCATGCCATGTGTATCGAGAATCAGCCTACCCAGCCCATCCGTACCTTCTTTCGCGCACTCCAGAAATCATGAAATCGGGCTACTGGTATACGGAGCCTTCGGGAGGCTGGGGGATCTTCTTGTTGGCAGGAGCAGCCATGTATCTGGAACTGTATCAGTGATGCCTCTCGGAGATCTCCACAGCCTGTGTGCAGACGCACCTTCTGAGCTCGATCAGGATGGTCTCCATAGTGTTGTCTCTCTTCCAGCCGGCGAGACAGGGCAGCTGCTTGGGGTCGACGACGCCATTGCGAGGGTTCACGCAAGGCAGGTTAACCTGGCTAACAAACTGTATCGTGGGAGGCTCATCGGGGTAGTTGGGACCGCAATGCATCTTGAGGGAGTAGATTCGGTTCTCGTGGACGCTCTATCCAAGCACTGTCAGTCGCTGTCTTGTATGCGATGGAATTTCAGGAGTGCACTAACGTGAGGGGGTCCCAGAATGGTGCCGTTCCAGTCGGACATGAGAAGATCCTCGGCATCATTAAGACCATAGGAGCAAGCCTCTGCAAGTTGGGGAGTCAGTCAGAATGCGCGGGGCAGCTGGGAACGATCACAAGGGTTGCAAGTACCTGCTCCGAGACCCTTCTCGCCCTTCTCGAGCTCCTCGAGGAGTCTAAAGTTGCGCGGGACCTTTGCGCCCATGATTGCTGGTGTACAGATGTCGTGGGGAGGACGGTTGGTGTAGGATGAAAAAGAACGTAAAGTGCGATGGCCTTGATGGAGGGGTTACAAAGTGGGAGGGAGACGCTGGACCTGACATGCACTGGATGGAGCGAGGTGAGAGAGACCCGGCCTTACCTAACTGTCGGGTAGGTAGACCCGCAAGCGGTGTCTGGCCGTCGTATTCACACCGGACCTACTTAGCGGCCTAGCAGAGGGATACAGCAGCGCCTGTACCTGAAGGGCAGCAATGCCGCTGGCAAACAACGCCTGAGGTCAGCTTGCCTTAGTGGCCGGACGCACGAGCCAACGCGGGGCACTGGCAAGGCGGTGAGCGTCGTGCCGTTTCTGCCAAGGCAAGGCGTCCGCGTGAGAAGTGTGGGTACCTTTAATGCGGGTTGGCGGCCTTAGTCATCATTCAAGGTGGACAGCTCACCTCAATCGGGAGCTCTGGATGGACACCGAACATCGCAGTGAGATAGCTACCTTGGCCTTTTCAGGAGAGATTGCACGCACTCTTTCCTCAACACGCCATTAAACGACAGACAGATTGTCATTTCCAAACCCGGCCGTCGTTAAAGTTTCATTTGGCGCATCCTCTCGATAATGGACTGCCCCTGGGGCCACGCGTGACAGAATGACGACCCAGCTCCTAGCTACGGAGCTAACGAACCTCATCCAAGAAAGCAAACGCAAGCACAATGACCTCCGACAAGTACATGACCCCGAACAAGATATCTTCGATGTTCAAAGCTGATTTTTATTCATAAGGCTGCTGAAAAGTCGCTCGATGAGTTGAAAAGCCTCAAGGGAGCTAACGAAGCTCAAGCTGCCAACGGTACTTTTCCCTGCCCTACGCGCGGCTTGTGATTGTCCGTCGTGGCTGACCTTTGCCCACAGAACTCGCGCAGCGCCCCAACTTCGTCAACCCATTCATAGTTGCATGTGGCACCAAAAATGCAAAGTTCACCGGAATTGCCATTGTCTGCCTCCAGAGGCTCATCGTCGCCCGCGCTCTTCCTAGGGGGAAGTTGAACCAGGTCCTCGAAGCCTTGAGAGAGGCCACCTCTGCCGGTCTTGATGTTCAACTCAAAATCCTGCAGGCCCTGCCTTCTCTCTTGCAAAACTATGCCACAGACCTCAAGGGCGATCTCCTCATCACTGCCTTGAACATTTGCTTCATTCTACAGACCAGCAAGAATGCTATCGTCAACAACACATCGGCTGCCACCCTCCAGCAGCTGGTTGTCTCTGTTTTCGACAAGGTGGTTACCGAAGATAAAGCTACGACTCCAGGAATTCCCGCCGGAGAGGCCCCGACTGGTGATGGCGCGGTTGAGCTACGCGCAGCCGCATTGGATGCCTACAGGGTAGGGTATATGCTTCCACGACAGCAGTTGGTCTTGCTGATCACCTCATAGATTTTCAACGACCTCTGTCTAATGACTGAAAATCAACGGCCGGAGTACTTGAGATTCTCCGGCCTTCCTCAGACGTTTGGTCTAGAGCTGATAGAGTCGGTCCTAACCAACCACGCCGCAGTCTTTTCAACCCACAAAGAGCAGGCACACATCCTCCAGATCCGTGTAATGCCCTTCATTATCAGCGCTCTTAAAGGCAGACCAAATTTTGCCACATCTGTCCGCCTTGTTCGGATTCTCTACACACTACTGCGAAGACATATCAACATTCTCCCGGCAGCAAGTGGCGACGCCTTGGACATTTTGACGCATCTACTCGACCAGGACACCGCCGTGTGGAAGCGGGCCCTCTGCCTAGAGGTTTTCAGGGGCATTTTCGCCGAACACGCTCTTATCAGGCGGATCTTTGTCAACTACGATGCCAAGGAGGGCGAGAAAAACATTGTCAAACACTTGACAGCGACGTTTGTGAGGCTCAGCACCGAGAAGCCGTCTGTTATTGGATTGGGTCACCAGTCAACTATCCCTGTGGCGAACCCCTACGCCAGCATCGCATCATCTACCGACCAGGCCATGTTGGAAGCCAGTGGTGTCACTGGTATCATCAGCGGATCTGTTGGTTCAGATGGCGCTAATATCGGAATTAGCACACAATGGAGCAATGTCAGAGTTCCGTGCATTGACCAGCTGGACAAGACCGAGGCGCCATATATCCCAGAATCCTATATCTACAGTCTAACATTGTCCTGCATCTCCTCGCTTTCTGAGGGCCTCGCAAAGTTCATTCTTCCCCTGACGGTACCCGGAGAAAGCCGAAGCCGCAAGAGAGGTGGAAAGCAGGAACCAGGGCGCGATTCTCCGGCACCACCCCAGGAGGATGCTGATGGCCAACGCGGTGCGTTGGAACGATCAGCCTCCTTCAAGAAGAACCCGGTCCCGATCAATCCACTCGTCTTGGAGGACCATCCGTTGCACAATGATGTGAAGATATGTGCAGCTATCATTGATGAATGCTGGCCAGCGATTCTTGCAACTTGCTCGACCTTCCTCTACGCTGCCATGGACTCCGAGTACTACCACAGTCTCGTCAGAGCGTTCCAAAAGTTCGCTCATGTAGCCGGACTGCTTCAGTTGTCGACACCGAGAGATGCTTTTTTGACAACGCTTGGAAAGGCCGCCGTCCCTCCAAACGTCTTCACAGCATGCCTCAATGCCGGGACAGCTCGACCAACAACGCCCACGCCAACTAACGAAGCTCCTAGCAGCATTTTCAGCAATGCTCGAGGGCTACTTAGTGTTGACAGCTTAGCGACGCAGTCCACGCCGATTACCGAAAAGGGACGGCAGCAAAGTGTCGATGGAAGCCAGATGACTCTTAACACTCGAAACCTCCTTTGTTTGAGAGCCCTCTTGAACCTCGGAATCGCCCTCGGTCCGACCTTGGGCCCATCCTGGCGTATCATACTCGAGACCTTGCAGCAAGCTGATTTCGTCCTCTTTTCCACGAGTAAGACTCCTGGACGAACGCCTCTCGCCACGAAAGGGACAGATCATCAGGCAGAGGGCGAAGCAAGCGCTCTGTTGTCGAACTTTGCCTCTGAAGTAAGAGCTGTGGAAACAGCTGCCTCGAGACTAATTGAAAGCACGATCGACTTCCCCAATGATGCTTTCGGAGAGGTCGTGACGGCGATATGTAACCTCCTCGAGAGAGCAAACGAAGAGAAGCAAAAGGCCGAGACCGCCAGTCAGCCACAGTCCCCGCAGTCCGGCAGTATTAAGCCCCCGGGCCAACATCGCCGAGTCCTCAGCGTTTCTACGACCGCCGCCGCTGGACCAAACCAAGAAGACCACTTCGCCCTCGCCAAGTTAGGTGATATTGCCACAATCAACATTGACCGTCTGCTATCGTACCCGCCTGATGTGTCAGGTTGGACGCCGCTGACATCCGAGCTCATTCACATCCTCAACGCGTCTGCAATGAATGCCTCTGTAAGACTGCGCGCTGCAGATATTCTGGTTAGACTGGCTCTCGAGTCGGCTAATGTAGCGGCTACGATGGAACGCGATCAGTGTGGGAAAGTGCAGCTTCTGCTCCTAGAGGCCCTCCGAGACGCCCTCATGCCTTTGCAACGGGATGACAGGGAGGTGACTGTGGCTAGCCATGGGACGGATGTCGAAATTCACAAGGTCGTGCTCGAAGGCTTGAAGAACCTGCTCGAAAATTGCGGCGAAATTCTTGTCAGCGGCTGGGAGATCGCCTTTGAAATCATCGGTTCCATCTTTATCGACAAGAAGTTCGCCCCTGGTGAACGCCGGGGTTCTCAAACGGTTGTTCTCATGACACGATCGGCGAAGCTTGTCAGATCTTCGTTCAATTCCCTTCAACTTATCTGTTCTGACTTCTTAGCGTCCCTGCCCAATTCCTGCTTTCTCATACTTGTTGATACCCTATACAAATTTTGCTCGCAAGATGACGATCTCAACATTGCCCTTACGGTAGAGTTGCCCACGTCCCAACCTTAACAGTCAGCTAACAATTTGCAGACCGTAACGTTTTTCTGGGTACTCTCCGACTTCCTCTCTGGCAAGACGGAATCCCTGCCCATCACCGCCGATCTGATGCAGGGCTCGAGTATTTCGGAGCTAGCTGCGCTTGCCGCAAACTCTGAGCACACGGCATCAGATGCTGCCCTTTGGATGCTTTTGCTCCTCAGGCTCACCACCGTCACTGCCGATGAGAGGCTGGAGCTTCGAAACAGCGCAATCCAGACACTGCTCAGGATCTTCGACGCGTACGGTGACAAGCTCAGCCCTGAGGCCTGGTCCATCTGCGTCAAGTCCGTGGTATTCAAACTTCTCTCTTCGATCGAAGACGAGCTCCAAGCTGCTTCCAGCGAAAACTCAGCACACCGAGACCGCAAGGAATGGCACGAGACTGCGGTGGTAGTCTTGAACGGCATATCCGAACTACTGGCCACATACATGGAGCCTCTCTCGGCCCATCCCTCCTTCAACGGGCTTTGGCAGGAACTTTTGGGCCACTTCACGACTCTGCTCGACTTTAAGGTTCTCAACATCAACACGGCAACATACAAGGCTCTTGGGAAGGCCATCAAGTTCGAGGAAGAGCCGGGCAGGCCAATCTTTGACACGGATACGATCAATGCCGCGTGGGAAATGTGGTCCCGGGGAACACCAACATCCCTCGATGAGGACGATGGGAAGAAGGCCGACAACCAGAACTGCTTGATAGCTTACGTCGCCGCCTTCCACGACGTCTATCAGCTGGTCCAGCAGGACCTGACCGTCGACCGAGTGCGCCAGATGCTCACCCTCTTCCGCGAGGCCCTCCAACAAGCCACCGTCGGAGCCTATGTCAACGATGTTGAGTACGTCACGCCACTGCAGAACCAGGTCCTCGAAGCCATCAAAATGGTCCGAACAGACCTTGCCGGCGTGCCCTCCGCAATGATCTCCCAGGTGGCAGAGTTTGTCCGCTTAGCATTCTCAGATGAAGCTCTCAAGTCCCACGGCTCCACGAGGAGAACCTACGTCGCAATG